AGTGGTCTCTGTTTTATGTCAGTTGTGATTAGAAGTAGTCTTACATAGAAGATGTTTTTTACAGCACTGATTATGTGAGGCTTCAAGAGTTGCAGCTTAGTTATTTTCTTAAAAGCAGCATTTACTGTATTTTCTGAATAGCATGTTTCTAAATGCTGTAGTCAAAGCACACAGATGTAGTGGTTCAGATTTACAGAGTGCTGAGGTGATGCTCTTTGTATGGCTGTTTCTTTCAGGCTACCGGGCCATTTTGGCTGAACCTAAAAATAAGTCATCTGAGTCCTTTGAACATGAATATTATAACAACAATCATACAAGGCAGGAACCAAGAGGAAATATGTTTCCATTTAGTAAGTTCTATTTCTTTATACTAAAAATGCTTTGTAGTTTTGAATATGATCACAAAGTAAGAGGGTGGTTTGGGTGCAGGGCAGCCAAAAGAGGCTGTGATCAAACCTCTCTGTAATAGATTGGGTGTTTGAGTTAAAAATTAGTCAGGTATATAACAGGTGACTTGATTTGCACTAGCTGGCTTACTGTTTTATCACCTGCCTTGATGAAATAAACATGTTATCTGTAGTGTAAATTTGGCTTAGGTTGTTTTAAAAAATGAATTAAAAGACAAATGAAATGGAGACCTGCTAGTGTGGTGACTAACATTATTTTTATTCTTGAGGTGGGCACCCAGAGTTTTGTAGCTTTGAAAAAAATGAGGTTAAAATTCAGGAGTCAGTCTCCAAGCGTCTGTCAGTGGTATCAAGGCTTCCTTTTGTCCAAGAGCAACTGTCTGCCCTCTTCGACCTGATCCCAGGACTGGAGTACTGTGATATTCAGCGAGATCCTCATACTAATAATGGTAAGTGAAAGTACAGAAAGCATTTTAAATTTATTTTAGTACTGCAAGATGCAGTATACTTGTAGGACAATTAATGTTGTATGTATTAGCAGTTACTGCTATCATTGTGTGAGCATAAAAATTCAGTTTTGTTTGCACCCCTCTTTACAAATAGCCTTAAATACTTACCAATTATTATTTTTTTCCATCCAGAGCGTAGAATTTCATGAAGGACAGAATCAAAACCAGCAAAAGTATTTGTTATGGTCAAATAAACTTTAGGCTGATTAAAAGGAGAAAGTATTTTGAATGTGACTAGACATGTAGTTCTAATGTTCTCTAAATGAATCTTTTGAGTTCTCGTTTGAAATAACTGGCTCTGTGTGTGTGGGATTGTTTTGGTTTCAGGTTTTTTGTTACTGCTGGAAAAATGTAAAACAGCTGTCTGCTTTAGCAAGCTTGATATGGAAATGATTCAGAGAATCAAAATGCAACTTTATAGATTCATTTTTAAAGTATTCCGTTCACAGTGAATCTAAAGTATTTTTTATGTAATATGGAGTAAGATCTGTTTTTAACCTCTGTTGCAATGTATAGGTTTTCAGAGAAAAGGAAGTAGTACCAACTTCTCAAACTAATGTAAATATAGCTGCTCTGTCATAAGTTTTAGTAATTTTTTCTTCACAAATGTTAGTGATGTTGCTATTAAACGTACTGTTTGGTAAAAAGCCCCTTGAAGTGTTCTAACATCCATAACCAATGTGAAGCTTGATCCTACTGCTTTATATAGTGTAGTTTATTCTTAGGATAGATGTTTATCACACTAAATATGTATATTGTATTTCTAGGGTATGCTGTGATTCAGTATAGCAGTGCTGCATCAGCTATATATGCCAAACATAAATTACATGGTTTTGAGTACCCTCCTGGAAACAGACTAACTGTCACTTTTCTAGAAGATGGGAGTGATAGCTCAGAGTAAGTACTAATCTTTACAGAGAGAAAGGCATGTGTTTGGGGAGTAAAATGAAAATAATACCTACTTTAAAGAATAAAAAAATACATAAATACATACATTGCTGTTCCTTTTTATAACTGCAGTGCTGTTTCACATCTGTAAATATTCTTTTCTGAAGTATAGGGGGTTTATATAATTTGGAATAAGCCTTTTGAAACTTGTGCTACTTTTCTTTGACAAGGGGAAGAAAAATATGTATTCTCAAGATGCATCCTTTAGTGAATCTTTTGACTTTTATGGGATATGAACCAAAGCACAATAAGGAAGGAAAATGGGGAGATTCGCTTTAGAAATGCATACCTGATCTAGACTAAAACAATAATTAGTTGTAACCAGACTTTGTCAACCTTTCTTTCACTCTTTATTTTCTGCTGTTGCAATGTCTTACAATGCAAAAGTGCAATTGCCTTTTTCTTTATTCTATTTTAGAATAAGAAAATACTCAGTGATTTGGAAGTTGACTTCTGTGTCTGCAACAATGTTACAACAATCTTAGCAATGTTTATTGAAACATTCACCATGCTAAGAATAAAGGCTTTATTTTTTTTCTGTTTATATTTGATTTTATACGAAATGCACATTTTAGATGATAACATTTCTAGGTAGAGAGGTCAAGTCCATTTTTCTCTATTTATTCTTTATTTACTGGGACTTTTTATAAATGAATTTTCTCTTTACTGTCTTATGTACCTTCCCCAAAACATATGGAACAGTGCTGTAGATTTACTTTGCTTTTTCTTAGTAGTCGGGGAAAAGAGCTCTGTGTAGAGATATGTGAATATCTTTCTGCTGACTTTTAGCTACCATGTGTACTTCCAGGCATGTCTAGAGTGTCATGAACAGTTGGCTTTTTTCCTCCATCTATGTAAGCTTAGATTTTTTTTTCAAAAATACTTCTAGATGTGCAAAGGGTATTTTCTTTTGCTGAATTTAAGATTGTAGTAACTTTGCTTTTTTTTTTTTTTTTTATTATCACTTCTACTTGCAGCCTCATTAGAAGAATGGCAACGGAGCTGGTAACAGCACACATGTCGTCACTGTTATGGAATAGTAATTCCATTTCTCATCAGTGTAGGACACCTCCTGTAAGTTAATATAATGGATACTGTTAATATTTTTATCTGCTTTAGATACTACTCTTTTAAGCCTAGTATCTCAGGTTGGTTTGTGCATTATTGTTCTCTTTAAAGATGTGTGACATTGGAATTTATTTTTCAAATTAATGAAATAAGAGAAGTAATTAATTAAGCTTAGAACTGTTCCATCTTGTTAATGTGTTATGCTTGGAACGAAATGTAAAAAAAGAAAATCAAACTTTTTGGCCAATTAATTAATATTTGCCTTTTCTGATCGTTTCAGCAGGTATTTGGGGGAACGTGTAGCTCACAATTACTTCAGCCCCAAACAGATGCCATACTTCCACCACACAAAAAAAAGGTTCCTCCTGACACTTCTGTGAAAGAAAGGCTTTTCATACTATTTAATCCCCATCCTTTACCCGTAAATGTATTGGAAGATGTGTTCTGGTAAGATTCTATTACAAATTAGTTTTTTTTAGCCAGAAAAATAAGCTGAATTTCTAACAAACTTCCAGATTTTCAACATTTATTTTGAGAGTTATTTACAACAAAGTTTACAGCAAAAGTAATCAGTAGGTAACAGTCAATTTTGAAACAGTCATTTAATTGATACAGAAAAAAAGTTGTAGCACTAATTACTAATAAACCTGCTATACCGATAGAGTAATCTGGCAAAAATACCTAATCTCTCTCTCTTTTTACCCGAAAACACTATAGTTCCTCATATCAGTGTAATTAATTTGGCATTTTCCTGCCACATTTTTTGCAAGGATTTTAAATATTTTGAGAATTCCCCAGTAACTTCAGGGAGTAGGCTTTAGGGAACGTTTTTCTGATATGGTTAAATCCTGGGACACTTCAGTGTTTTTCATCTTCTGACATTCCAACAATCATTTCCCACTACCCACATACTAGTAGCAAAGATTCTTACTGTCTTTAAAGCAAATATTTCATCTATTTACTGGTATTTTTATTATTTTTAGTATAATCTTGAATAAAAAGACAGCATTCCCCTCCTTTTATGGCTGGCAATGCAGTAATTCTTTGGAAAGCCAAAATATTTTCAGAACACAAGGAGGGAGAGAAAAAAGACATGGACTTATGTGCAATATAAATAAAATTATGCCTATTTGATGTGCTAGATTTTTTTTCATTCTGGCTATAAATCCTGGTTTTCACATTTCAATAAACTCCTTATCAAGTAAGCAATATACAAACTTTGCTAAGGAGCTGCCTAGGAAACCCCTGAGTGGTTTGAAGTTTGTCATTTTCTGTAAAGCCTTAACACTTGCTTTCTGAGTCATTTCAGTGAGACCTTTTCAAAGATAATCTCAGCTGTTAAAATTCATGTTAATAGGATGCAAGTATTAGCTGTATGTCTTATTTAAAATAAGATAAATCAAGTATGCGTGGTTCCCGTTGTAGTACACCACAGAAAATGTGGCCTACCAACCCATGGGTTTCTACCTATCGCTGCTTGGACTAAGAGGGAAGAGCATAAGAAAATATCCTGGGTCCTGGTGGGGTAGAGCACAAGATCTCGTGTGTGTGCTTGATACGGGGTATTAGGTATTGGTGCTGCAGCAAAGTCTCAAGGCATATATTGCTGTTAATTCCTACTAATTTTGTTTTCAGTCGTTTTGGGCACCTGATAAAAGTTTACCTTGTGGCTGGAAAAAATGTGGGATATGCAAAATTTGCAGACAGAGCAAGTGCCAGTGATGCCATAACTGCATTACATGGAAAGGTTGTAAATGGTGTCAGGCTTAAAGTAAGGTTGGCAGACTCTCCTACAGAAGAATCTAACAAACGTCAGAGAACTTACTAAGTGGGTAAGTACCCAGTCTGAGCTGTTACTTTAAGTATGAATACTTGAAATAATAAGAGTATTTCAGGTTAAATGTGAAAAATACGATAAATTTGAATTCTTAAGTTGTGATATGTGCACATACCGTGTTTGTGTGCGACGTGCACGCTTTTTACTAAAAATCTTTATTTTTGTAATGTTTGAATAAATATGAGCAAGTTGGTTGATATCAATTTGCATATTCATAGTATCCACTTTATGTACATAAGCATATCCCATAACATTGAGAAGAGTATGGGAAAAATAAACAATATGACTGAGTTCAGCTTGTGTGTGTCTGTCATTAGAAACAAATGGCCTCATAATGGTGTTGCATAAGAGGTTATCCCTGAAAAGGACAGGGAAAGAAAGGGTAAATAAGATAGATGTGGAAAGGACAGGGAAGGTTACCGGGTGCAAACTGAAAACTTTAGAGATTCAGGTCATCTGGGCTGTGAGAAGGCATGTGTAGTTGGGATTGTTTTAGATATGTCACAATATATCTGAATATGAAAAGTCATACTTGTTTTGTGGATTAATTAGCTAACATTTTTTGGCCTCTAGTACCTGGCCTATTGACAATGTCATTTTATTGCCTTTAAGTGAAATTTGGCCTTTTTTTAAGACATTGGATTCATTAAAATGATAACAGATTTATCTACGATTAACTTCTTACAATAAGATGATTATCAACAGAAGTCTCTTACTGGTTAAATACTTTTTAGTATGTATATACAAAAGAATTCTCAAATATTACGATTGCTTTCAAGTAATTTTAGTAGCCACATCATAGGGAAAATGCAGTCTTGTTTTTTCTTCATCAGAAACCATCATATCAAATCCTGACTCTGTATCAGTATTTTACTTCTAATATTGTTTTGCTCCTTGTATCTTTCTTGGTGTAGAATCTCTAGATACTTTCCTTGACTTGTGAGTTACAAGGACCAAAATGGATTTCACCTGCATGTGTTTTCTTTTTTTATAATGACTTTTGTGTTGTAGTAACAGCTTAGCTTAATCTTCCTTCAAACTAAAGCTTTAAATTGTCCATGTGAAAATGGGTGGAATTCCCTACCTCTGAAATACTTTGAAGATGTGAGAACTTTTTGTGCTTTTCAAATTTTAAGTGGTAAAAAGTCATCTTAGCTAAAACTTCTCTGAATTTTCACTTAATGAATTCAATGTCTCTTAAAAATAATTCCCATCCACAATCTCACATTGCTTGCTTCATCTCTAAAAGCTGACTGCATTTCTGTGATGAGTAGTTTTTGTGTAAGATTATAATTCAAATCTAGAAATTTAATAAGGGTTTCTATTTGGAAAGAAATGCTTGATTTAAATTGAATTATTCAGTTTAATTCAGTTAAATTATTCTTTCAGATTGGTGATTGTTTTAGAAGTCTCTTCTCAACTTTTTACTGTAAGCCCTATGTAATTTACAAAATTAAAAGATACTGTATGATTATAATTTGTTATTGATATGATGCAAGTAGTCATTTTTTTGTGATCAGAAATTATTTTACAACAGCCTTTGCTTATCAGGGAATTTTGAATTATTGTGCATTGATGTGCTAAAATAATGGATCTAGTCAATTCTTCTGGCTCTTGTAAAGGTCATTGAAGAGTTAATTATCACAAATTGCTAGAGTAGCAAAGAAATGATGGAAATCCAGTTCAGTAATGTTCTCTCAACTATTTGCTTTGTAAGTTCTTTGTTGTAAACCATTTCACTTAGGCCTAAGTTCAGGCTTGAAAGGACAACTAAGATGTGGTTTTTTTTGCTGCTTTTTACAGCTGTCTCATTTTTAATTCCATTTTGCTTGTACTCTCTATGCAGGTTTTTTGCATTGCTTTGCAGGCTATTTCAAATTTCACTGAAACTGTACAATACCTGTAGTACATTTACTTAAAACTGAGAGAAGGGAAGGAATGTGGTGCTTGCCAGAAGAATATGTTGTAGAATTTTAATCTCCTCGTTGCAACATATTAGCTTTATTAAAAGCAAGCATCAGACAAAGAAGATGTTTTTGAGCAGTCCTTTAAAAACCCAGTTTCTGGCTAACACTGGTGAATGCCCAATAGCCATCAGAGCTGCTAAGCTCTGGTTCCAGTCTGTGGGTCATAATAATCACTGTTGATAGGCAGTAGCCTGTCACAAATAGCTTAACTATAGCTTTTCCTTCTGTAACTGATAACTTCTTTTTTGCCTCTTGCACATGCACCTTTTGAAAATAATTCTTTATTAAGTTGGAAAAAAATGTTCTGTTCTGAAATACTTGGTCACTGTTTTCTTTGTCATCCTTGTCCTGCAAAGTCCTGTACTATTGCTTCTGTTTGCATTCAATTTTCTACCTAAAATTGTGTTAAAGATCTAACTCATAGCATGCATATTTATAATGATTTATTTTTATACATATACATATTTTAAAAAGTTATGTCATAGTGGAAATAATCTCAGTAAGTTAACTATAAGTTAACTATATTTTCTATTAACAGCATATGGCAGGAAATGGCTTTCATACGCGGCTCAGAAAGAGGTACTCATTAAAAAGATAAACATATGTTAATACTATTGTATATCTTTAGAAGACTTTATCACTTATGCTGTTAAGAATTCTGTTTTCTAATATGTATATGTTAAAATAAAAATAGATATATTGCTTTTTGATACTATTTTTGTGCTTGTGTTCTTTTTACAGAAACTAAATAATGACATGACCCTCAGCTAGCTGACTGACTGAGAAACGTGACTAGACATGGTTCCTGTGGACAGTGACTACTTTTTATTGTTACATAGTTGATCTTATATATGGTATTATCTGTTTAAAAATGAGAACATGTAATTTTAAAATTACACAGCCATTTAAAATTGTAAACTGGTGGTTGTTCTAGTAGTCTAGTAGTATTTTGCTGATTTAGGTGAAAAGTATTAGTTCTGCTTTATACACTGTTTAGTGCAAAGGACATTTGACTGAGTCAGACGACTGAGCTACTGAAGCTTCTGCATGCCTTTTAGAAGCCTTTTGATTGTAATTGTGGGGGAATGTATAGAGCTTGGGGGTTGGGTTAGAGGGCTTTTGTTTCATGGGTTTAAGAAGCTTGTTGTGAATATGCTGTTTGAATAAGAATTGAGCAGGACCATTGATGAAGAGTAAACTAAGATAGTCCCAGTAAGTATTTGCATAGATAACTTTAAAACACCAGCTTTTCTGTGTATCTTAGAATGCCGTTTGTTGAGTTGCAAATGCCTTGGTTATTAAAAGATAAAACCACCGGTCTAAGAAGTGATTCCTATGTTAGAGCCCTAAGTCTAGACTTGAAGCTATATATGTGCATATGCTTTGTTTCTGTTCCCTCTGTCCATGCAGAACGCTGAATTTTCTGCTCCTTGATAAATTCTAATTGCAGGTACCCTGGGAGACCAGTGTGCTCTGTGATGCACATCCCTTCCCAGCACTTCCAGTGCAACTCCCGTGATACCAGTGTGGTCAGACCTACTGGCACATCCCTGGAACATCTAAAGGACTGTTTCCTTCCAAAGAAATCCCAGGTGCCCAGGGAAATAATAACTTACTCCCCTAGTTACCAGCATTCAGGATGGTCACCTGACAGCTACTGTGCACAATTTCAGTGAGGTGTTTGCCCTGAAGAGGGTGTTGGTGTCACAGGCACAAAAGAGTAAAAGTGGCAGAAACTTATTTAAATAGAAAAAAATGCAGTGTCTAATGTGCAGATATTAGGAAGCTGGAAAATAGTGGTTGCCTAAGAAACCTTGTTTTGCTCATCTCTATTCTAATATGTATTTTGGTGCAGTCCTTCATGAGTCACCCAGTTTTGTGCCCTTTCTCCCAGAGAACAGTTGCTTCATTCAGCGCAAGTGATCCAACTGAATCAGAGCTGCACGTTTAACAGTGTCTGTAAAATGTCTGCTTAATTTGCTATAGATGTTGGAAATTATATAGTGAATGAAACTGATTTATGGCTGAACTTGGAGAATTGGATCCTATCTCAGACTCTGAGATGATATCTGCCAAGAGTTGCCATTTCTCTGGGCTTTTTCTGGGAAGGTGTGTGTGGGGGGATTTTTTTCCTCCATTTTTCATCACAAATTTTTGAGTAGAATTTGGAGTTTTGCTATATTTTCTCAATTAAACGGTTGTGACCAGGCTGCTTTGCATTCATTTACAGGTCTTTACATTGGTAGGTCAAAACTGTGTTTACAGGCAGAATTAATATTAGATTTCTCTACTGGAAACTGTAGCACATATATTCCAGTTGGCTAGTAGTTAGAAAACTGGTCATAGCTGTATGTTTTTTTGTTGATGGTTTCCTAGTATTAATGGTATAATATTGGTAACTAAAATTTAGTATGTTTATCTCTGACTTGCATTTTGGCTGTGTTCATCATAGTTTCTGCTGACACTGAAGCTCAAGAGCTTTGTAGCTCTTGAAAAAGAGAAAATACAGGTTTCATATATTACATTAAATGATGTCCATTAGAAATGCTATTATTCATTTATTGATTAGCAGAAGAGTCATTGTGTAAATGGGAGAAAGATCCTTGTGTGTGGTGCCTGAATGTTTACATTAAAGTATTTCAGATCGTTAAATGAAAAAGGCCATTCTTGCGGGAGCTGTTTATTCGGTAAGTGTTCTGTGAGTCTGTAATTACTGTTCACTGCTCTGGGGCTTGTGGCTCCTGTGGAGACCTTGCTCTTCCTGTGCACAAGCCAGTGCTGGAGTGCCTAAAGTGGAGGCAGAGCCTGGGGTCACATGCAGGATGCGATCAGGTTTTGCTTGTGTGCTCCCTCCTCCCTGTTAATGCTCCACTTTCTGACCCTTTCTTATGTTGCTTCTGTGCTTACGAGAGTATCGCCTAATGTCTGCAGTGCTGGGAACTTACTAAAAGAATAAGTAGGAATCAAAAGGAGAAGGAATCTTAGTTGTTGGAGAAGAGTGCATGCAGCTGTGTAAGGCCTGGTTTGGGAAAGTCATGTGTCTTATGTTCTCTGGATACCATTTTCCTGAACTTCTGTGTTTGCTTTTGTTAAACACTTTAGTAGAATCTTTGACAAAGTTTAAACAAAGTTTTCCACAGAATCTCAAATTTGAACCATATTTGTACCGTTTTTTCAAAATAAACCAGAAGAATTATAGATGAATAACAGAGGGTTGGTGGTCTCATGTTCAATTAACCTCCTTAGAGATCCAGGACAAAGAGGGACCTTGGAGCTTGCAGTATTGCCAGGCAATCCACCCAGTTCCAGCAGAGGTCACTGATCTCTTGGATGTGTGTAGCTACAGATGCTACTTCTGGAAATCTGTAACAGGTTTCTAAGACAATTTGAATATAGAAGATATAGAATTGTTTCACCTTTTTTTTGACAGATGGATACCTCTTGAGATAATTCTAATTTTCAAAAATAGGTTTAAAAAAACCTATGTATCTAGCTTAAGTAACTAAGAGAAGGGAGACTCCTAGTTGAACTTCATCTCTGTTACTTTTGTAAACAGTTCACTTCATAGTCTCTTTTGATTTTGAAATATGAATAATCATTTTTGCTTGCAGAAATAATATTGAGAGTGAAAATTTACTATGGGACACCTGAAAACAATGTACACAGAACACCTCTTTATATCTTGACAAAAATCTCAGTAGAAAATAGTAATGTAAAGAATAGAGTGAGATAATAGGTAGAAAATAGGAAAAGTACCAGAGGAAAAAGACAAAGCAAGAGGAAAACAAGGAAGTTGCCAAGGTGTCCTGATTTTCAGGCAATAAAATAGGAAATGGGCAGTCTAACAAGAGGTGAGGCATAGGAGTCTCAGGATGTATGAAAGAGACAGATCAAGAAAGAAAAGATGCAGAGGACTAGGATGCTCTGGAAGCCAAATGTTTTAAGTTAGGTTTAGGTGAAAGGATTCAGGGTCTTTTGGACAGATGTCTATTATAAATGAACCACAGAAGTTCTTAGGCAATTTGTTGTAACTTCCAAAATATCCAACATGGAGCTCCCTACTGACTATATTATGTACAGTATACATTTTGGATACACATACTTAATATTGTAGAACTAGGTTTATTTTTAAAGCAATTTCTGTCATTCAAAGTGTGTGCTTTCTGTTGAGTTGTTTTATGTTGGGTAATTTCTTTTTCATTCCTCTACTGTGTTCTGTCCCTTCTGCCTAGCTGTAGCTCTCTTGAACTTAGCAGAACAACTTCTGGTTTGATTTCAGATCAGATAGCTCATCTACCACCTCTAATTTTGTCAGGGACAAATACAGCAGCAGAAGCTTGAGTTACAGATGGGATTAGGCCTTTTAGATGCTGTATAGCATTTGGAGCTCAGGAGTGCTTCCAAACGTTTAAAGCAGTAGTTAAATCTTGTAGGAGCAGGAGAGAAAAAAACAAAAACAAACAAAAAATGAAAGGCTCTTTAAAGCAGCCTTGTGGTGATTTATAAATATCACAGCTTGAAAAGAGTATTTCTGTACTGTACCAATCATATTTTGTAGATGGCGCTTGTACATAGTCATGAACTATACATGGCACTCCTGTTACTTTTGAGTGGAAAAAGATAGTGAAATATATATTGTTTATACATGGTAGTGTGAACCAGAGCATTTCCTTCTATTTTTGTCTGAGTTAATACAGAAGTTGAAGTGTTACATGGAGGGTTAAGTTGACAAAAGAGAATGTGAAATTGGAATAGATGAATAACATAGAAAATTAATGTCACTACTCTGCATAGTACAGCTTGCATTCTAAATTCAGTAGGATTGTCAAGTTCTGATAAATATTGTTTCTAGGCATGGAAGTTGTCATGATTGTGAAGAAGATAGAAAACATGAAGAAGAAAACATTTTATTTCAGTAAACAATGCAGTTCATAATAAGGAAACAGGAGAAAGAGTGCCAGTTCTAATAAAATGGGAGAATTTGATTCATTTCAGAATAGCTAGTAAAATGGTTACAAAAGCAATACTTCAACTGATAGGCTTCCTAGGAGAGAAACCTGGGATAAGAGATCTTTCATCCTGATTTCTCAAATCACTGTTCTCTTCTTGAAGTAAGTTCTGAGTGTTTAAAACAAATTTGAAGAGCTGGATGTTTAGGATATGTCTTTTTTTTTTTACCTGCTGGCAGATAGAGGAGGTAGTACCACAGAAAGGGAAGCATCAAGTGCTCTAATATATCACAAGGTCTGAAGGGTGGGAGTACGAGAAGGTAAACAGAGCCTGCATGTTGCCCTAACCTGCGACTACAAGCAAGCAGTGGAAGAGCTGGACCTTGGAAGATATTAGTCACTGAACAGAAAATCTGGAATACTGAGGAAAAGAGTTCTATTTAATCCACTTGCCTTCAAGCTGAGGGGCAGTAGCAAAGAGGAGCAGCATTATGTTAACACCCACACTTGTGGGACCTGGATAAGAGGGAAGAGTTAACTGCTGGCCAGAGCTTACTCTATATTTAGAGAAAGTGTTTACAAATATTGAGCATGAGAGTTAAGAAGATACCCTGGGAATTCTTCCAGCCTTTCATCATTTGAATGTAGTGGCACAAGTCTGTTTTCTGAAAGTGCTTTGTGAGTAATTTCTCCAGATGTCACTTAATGAAATCCAAGACAATGTTAACAGCCCTTGCAATTACATGGCATCGAAACTCTACTGAAAATGCAAGTATATACTGGAAATATTTTCTGAAATTGAAATAAGCAACTTCACAAACAAAATAGCAAGAGCCCTGAGCATTATTTTAAGTATCAGGATTTTGATTGCATTCTTCCCAGGGCGTGCTAAATCTCCCTCCTAATGAAGCTGCTACAAACAAGGATAGCAGGAGTGGGGTCTTTATATTTGATTGGTGAAATTTCTAAAAAAATTT